CATAATGATCAAGTACGTCTTGCACAAGAACTTATGACAAAAGCAAATCATTTACTTGAATCATCAAAAGATTTTTTTGATAAACCTCCAACTGTACCAATACCACCGCCTATATCATCGACTATTATTGAAAAGAAATCTATTACATCATCACCACCAGCATTACCAAATTTTAATGCAACTAATGAATTTCAAACAACAAATAATTCATCGAAAATTGATACAACTCATAGACATATGAAGTTAGTTTTAACAGATAAATAGATAATTTTGTTGTTTAAAATGATTTCAATTAGAGATTTAATTTCGAAAAGTAGACGTTCGTCCTGTCGGAGTATGAAAATGCTTTTCTGGAAGAGAAACTTTGACTAATACAAATAAGAACGAGATAATCTGGAAAAATTTAGATAGTTATGCATAAAAATGTTTTCCCTCTCTTCTCTGGCTGTTGAGTTAATAATTCTTGCAAACGTTGGTGAATTTTAATAATTCCTATAAAAGTCTACCAGATCTTGCTTTCTTTGTGTATGTTTGTTTCCGCTGTTATCCTAACCTTCAAAAAATTTCTTCTTTGCGGTAGTATCACGATCATTCCAAGCGTAATAGACTTCAGTAATAAACATTTTGCAAAAATCTTACAAACATTAGTCCCTATAGTAAGTTTTTTTTTCTTCTGAACGAATCCTAAACCAATGGTTTTTTCCCCACTATATACAAATCTAGAAAATAAGCTTCGAATTGAATTTATGATTTTTATTTTACAATAAATAGTAATTCATTTGAACAACAACATTTAAATGATTCGATAATTTGGTCTGATGAAGAAAATGATGAACATGATCAAAGTTTTCTACCTATTGGTCTTCCACCAATTCATCATCGTTCAATAATACCAACAGTTGTCTCATCACCATTACATGTCGAAGAAAATTCAACACATCAAGAGCAACAAGATGATATTGATATTGTTCATATCCGTCCATTAAATAATCTATCTGCATTCAATTTTGATTGTCAACAAATGAATGCAGAACGACTTAACGGTTTAAATTCAATTTTTAATCTTTCTTTTTTTTTATCTATTGAAATTTTCATTTTAGGTTCTTTAACAAATGATGCTTATACTGAATTATCACGTCATACTGTACATGCTTCTGATATAACAACAACGAACAATAATCAAAATGAATATAAAAAACCTTCACATGAAGTAATAAATTCATCTGATTATCAATCACCAGAACAACAATCATCTTCTTCCGATACATCTATCGTTGATGATACTAATACACAAATGAAACGAATTGATGTATCTATTCGTAAAAAAACATTACCAAATTTTTTTCCATCAAATCATGAAATGGAAGTATCAATTAAACAAGTTTCACAAGCATTAACAACATCAGTAAATTTCTTTTCTTATTATTATTCGTTCATTTTGTTTTTATTTTAAACAGGCAACAAATCCTTCATCAAATAATCTAATAAAAACAATAAATGAACGATTTCATAGTAAATTACCAATGGAAATAACAAATACAAAACGAATCGAACAAATTTTTCAAACTAAATATCCTTCAAATTAAATTATTATATTACACAGTGATATTCATTTTTCTTCTATTTTCAAGTTCAGATATACATATGTCTGTTTTAAAAATTAATTGTAGACATAGTTTTTCTTGAAAATAAAAAAAAATCCATGTTAATTGTATTTTTAAAGATATTTAAAGATACATCCTCATCTCTTTTTCGTCGGTTCTGATTCTCGAAGATGGTACAATCGATCAAGCTGAACCAAAAATAAAGAGATAAAGGTTCCAGGAAAAAAAAAATTTAAAGTAGGTTTTTGAGGTATTTTCTAGCCAACTTTGGTTTAGTCATAGATATCTTCAAAAAAATTCTCAGTCCAATAGGATAAAGTTTGATGGGCGTCGTAAGCCATTAGGATGTGATCCTATGGAAAAACCAGAGTTTCTCAGACGAAAAATGCAAAAATCTATTTCAAAATTTTTTTCCCTCGAAAACATATCTCCTTATTTTTAGTATAAAAATTTCAGCTTGATCGATTGTATCATCATCAAGAAACAGAAACCGTATCCTTAATTGAATTGAGTGTAATGATTTTTTTGTATTTTGTTCTTCAAGATATGAATATCGTTCAATATGGAGATGCCACCAATACATATGTGTGCTTTTTTAAATTATGAAAATGAACGATTAAAAACAAAAATAGCCGATCTTAAAAGACATATAGTTCATCTTGAAAGAATAATTGCAGAAAAAAATCTTGATCATATTCATTCATGTTCAATATCATGTCAAGCAGATATTACTGTTCCACGTTGTCCAAGTCCAACCGCAAGGATACCTTCTAATGAACAAATACGTTTACATCGTCTTTTAAAATCTCAAAATGATTTATTAAAACAATATGAAAATGAAAATATACGTGATCGACACAAATCATCATCATCATCAACACTTATTCAGAATTATGAACGACGTTTAATACAATGTGAAAAAGAAAAAGAACAAGCAGTAAAACGAGCTATGTGTGCACAAAATCGTATGAATAAATTTGAAGAACGTTATGAACGTATGAAAAAAGAAATAAGTGCACTTGATGAAAATTTTTTTGATGAACTTGAAGATTTAAAATATGCTTTACAACAAGCAAATAATCTTAATCGAGAATATGAAAAAACTGTACGAATGTTAAGTGATCGTCTTGGTATTCCATATCCAACAGTAGTAGTTAAAAGAAAATAGTTTGATAAAACGGACGTACCAGAATAAATGTTTCTCTAAGTATTTTTGTCAATATCACCATGTCTTAATCGGTTTTTTTCTTAAAATTCTGCGATTCAATTTTCTACAAAAATCTATTAGAAAATATTTAGAGGAAATATTAGATAAATAATACTGCCACGTTCTAATATGACTAATTTTTGAAAAGTTGTTTTTTCTTTCAGAACAATTCAACATTCTTTTCTAGCTTTGCATAAATATAACAGTATGACAGATTACATTGACGAATATGACTGAGTGTGTTCTTTTTCATGATGTATATTGGTTTGTTTCAATGAAGTTTTTCTTCTTTGACGCATACATTACTCAATCATAACTGACAAGGGAGCTAAACCAGCTGTACTCTGCTGTTTAAATTTATATGAGACTCACAAGGAGGTATAGAAAAAAGCACGAGAAGGATTCATGTTTATGGGCTTCTGGAATTTTTCAATAGTCTTGCTTTTTGTGACATGCCGGTGACAAACGGTCATTTGTTGGAAATTCAATTTCTCAACAAAGGAAAATGATTTTCGGCTAAAATTTTCAGAATATTTGAAGAATGATTAGACCTATCTATGAGCAAGATTTCAGATCGACATTCTGTTATTTGATTATCTGGTAAATATATAAAAATAGATCAAAAATTCCGTAACGTGATTATAACTCGACTGCAGAGGTCTGTGAACACGAACACTTTTAAGTTTTTTCTAGCCTTGCCGAAATTTCCTGATAGTTTCAAACGGCGAGTTACAGTTCGAAGAGTTCCATCATGAGTCAAAAACACGTGAAACTTTACTTGTTTTGCATAATATACCGAAATAAATAATCGCTATTCTGACATTTCAGTCTGATGCACTCATTCTTAAAAATTGAAATAAAGTTGACTTATATTAACTAATTTTTTTTTGTCGGCGATTAATACAAATTTTTCTGAGAATTTCAAAATTGCTAATTCAAAACTGTTATTTTTGTAAAGTTTAGAAGAAAAAATAATTCATTTACATAGGAGGTATTGCTATAAAAACTTTTATTACTCTAATTACAAGATAGAACTTTTCAAACGCTACAAGAATGCTGTGTACTTTTATTTTCGTTAGTTTAAAATTCTAAGAAATAAACCTAAATAGACTATTTTTTTTTTTGTGAAAGCTAGCCGTATTGTAGCCTCGTAGTATTATTTTGGTTAAGATTTTGAAATAAAACTTGTAATACGTTCTTGTAGAAAATTGAATCGCGAATCTTTAAAAAAAAACGAAAGGTAAAGCATGGCAATATTAAGAAAAATACTTAGAGGGATAATTATTCTAGCATACCCATTAAATATATATATTTATTTTTTATTCACACTAATAGATTAGAATTTAATTTGAAATTTTTCTTTTTTTATGAATTGTATTGAAAGAAAGTAAGAAATTTATATTGTTAATTTTTCTTGTTCTTAAAATTTTTATAATATGAAACACAATTCACATTTGAACAATGTCAATTGTGTATAGGATTATTTTATAGGATATTATAATAAATATGATTAAAAGAATATTATGACCTAAACTAGATACGATTGGAATTTTCTTCAAAAATATCATATGTAAACAGCTATAAAAATAATGTACTCATGGAATTTTGAGTTGTTTTCAAAATCATCAATCTAAATCAACAAATTATACCATGATCATACAATAGGAAAAACAATCTATTTCAAGGTTAACAGCTGCATAGAATTGATTTATTATCTTATAATTAATTTATATTCATTTATCATTCGTAAACATATACAATTGTACCATGATTGGTATATTTTTCCTCGAGATATTTTTATGTAATAGAAAAAAATATTTGAAAACATGATTTTTATTTATTATGTCATTTTAATCTGTCAATGTATTAAAGATCATAAATTCTAACTACAACAATACAATTTTCTTTTGTTTCATAATTATAATAAATAAATACATAACATAAAAACAAATATTTTATAATGTATAAAGTTTTTTTTTTTGACAAACACATTATATTTAAATACCAAAAAAATTGATTATTTTTGAACGTAAATGTTTTTTTTTTTTTGTATCATATATATTACTGTCCTTTGTCTTTGTTGTTTTTCTAAAACTAAATTCAATCACAAAAAAAAAACTAGGAAAAAAAAAAGATTTTTGTTTTGAGATATTTTACTCCACGTTTAAAACATGCATATGGATAAACATTTATAGAAGTGTTTCAGTTGTTGGCGATTGCACAGCAGATTGTCCATGAATAAGTGGTGAACTATTATTTAAATCTTCATTTTCATCAGTTTTTTGATTTGGTTCAATTAATTCTGTCGAATCTTCATCAACAAATGAAATATTTGCTTTATCATATAATTGATTTTCATCATTTGATACATATGCTAATTGTAATTGTCGTGATTTTGGTGTTGTTGTTATTGAACGTCTTTGTTTTATTGATGATGTTGATGGACTTGTATTTGAAGAATTTAAACCTAATTTTTGTTGATGAAAATTTCCATAGATAAAAGTTGGTGTTGCTTCTTGATTTATATCTTTTGATGTTGATGATATATTATCACATAAATTATTATGTTTTAATTTATCTTGTTGATATTCCATTTCATTTGAAGATTCAACATTTTTATTATCAATAGTATGACAATTTGATAGATTTTTTTCCATATGATTAGAATGTTTTCGTTTTGATTCACTTGTTGTTGTATCTGATGAAACAGGTTTTAAACTATCTAATCCTATTAAATTTAAATCAACATCTTGAAATTTTTGTTGACGATATACATCTGATTGACGATGAACGTATAATGCAACAATATCGCATATAAATGTTGCTAAACCAAGAATACCAATTAATGAACCAATATTTAATGTTAATGTTATGATATCAAAACGACCAGCAACACCACTAACCTATAAGAATTAATGATTTATATTTTTTTTCAATAAGAATTTAATGTTATATGTATCATACTCATAAAGAACTTAAGAGCTACTACATGTAATAACAAGAAAAATGTTGGAAAATATTTCTACTTAATGTTAACATTAATCAAAAACTATCTCCAAGGATCAATATCAGCAGAAAATATCCATGTTACACGTACAGTAAACAACATATCTATGCAATTATCTACGTGTTATTGATCTGATGTTTCAGATAATAATGGGAATGCTTTTGAAGTAGTAGAATTTCTATTAAGAATTTATTTTTATTCCAAAAATTAATCCATCAATCATTGAAACTGTCCTCCAATTTTTGAACTCATTATCCTCGAACAATGCTATTTCTGGTATTTTTAACCTTTTCTTAATGAAAACTTCTGCTATCAGAATCACACAATAGCTTATTGTAAGTATAACAAAAAAAAAAAATAATCAAACGCTATTTAACGACAATTATTACTTTCTGATCATATATTGATGTACTTACAGAAATAATAAAACGGAGACCAAATGCTTTAGTTAATGTTCGATAAGATCGATTTTGATGTTTCCAATGTGATGCAAACCTAATAAAAATAAAACATATTATTCTAAAATAAGAAAATAATTATTTGAATTAATTTATTTCAACCGAAAATTAAATCCATGTGAAAATGATTCCTCTTTATATGCACCATCCAAACGTCGAAATGAATATTGAGGTTGACAAAGATCGTATGATTTATCTAAATTACAATCCCAATGTATTTTAACACGTATAACACCACCTAATTTTAACATTTGCATTTGTTCAGATTTATCCGGTTCAACCATATCAAGTAATGTTCCAACACGAAATATTGGACATTTTGTATGTGTAATATTATCATAATTACATCGTTTTAAATAAGATGCATTAGCTTTAATATTTTTTCTAATAACATCAAAACGTGGAAATTCAATAAAATTTTTAACAAATATTGTAAAATTTAATGCATCACGTATTGGATTTGGAATATTTAAATCATTTTCAACTGGACACCAACCTTCAAGTTCACATCGACCTGTTATTAATTCATAACTAGTTATTAACGAATCATTTTTTATTAAACAACGACCTATTTGAAAGAAAAAAGAAGACAAAAACAAAAAATTAAGAAAATATTTCATTTTGATTTACCAGTCCATTTTCCATTAGCCTAAATGAAAAAAACAAACAAAAGAAAATAATTAAAATAGAAAAATTCTATAAAATTACTTTTTGAAAATTTCTATTTGCTATACAGTAAGCATCATCTGTACAACTTGACTTTGATTCATCAGGTGATTCTTAAAAAAAAAAAAAGAAAAAACTTAATATTCAATTATTTTTTAAATTTCTTATATATAAATACCAGAACATCGTTTATGTTCTTGATCAGTTCGAATAAAATTTGTCATTAAAAATAAAGCATTATTTTCTTGTGGTGGAACAATATAATCTAAATAAAAAAGAAAAGTCATTAAATTAAATTTTCTTATCTGTTTTCTCTTACCAGCACCATCAATAACTAATGTTTGATTTTGTCCTGTTTGATTATAGCCAATACCCTATAAAAAATATTTAAGAATTGACTATTTTTGTTTTTGTTTCTTTTATTTTATTGATTTTTATTTACTTTAACTTTCAACGTAATAGATGATATAATTGATGTATCTGTCTCTTGATAGCCTTTTTTATGTATCATTAAATATGCAATACCATATATTAAAATAAGTAATTGAATAAGACGACACATCAGAGCAACTAGGGAAAAGTAAATATGTCATTTTTTATAGTCTTTAACATACCTTAATAGGTATGAAAAAAACAAAAGTAATGAAAAACATGGAATAAAAAACAAAATAAACGTCTCCTAAGAGATTTAGATTACCATTTTTGATTATATCTAATCTAATCCCATGATAATATAAAATCAATTCTACTTACTTGAAACTGAATGAATCGTTACAATTTTCGGTGTTTCATATTCATAAACAAAACCACGAAGTACTGATTTCATATTAGTAAAAGAACAATATTCTCGAAATGATATACAATGCAATGCTGTAGATGATGGTCGAGCAGTTGCCATTTATTTTTATTCGAATAGTAATATTAGATAGTAATAATGATAATAATATGAAGAAGAATTGAAAGACGATGGTCTAAAATATAATATACAAAATGAGAATATGTTTTACCAATTGTTTATTATTATTTGCAGATGGTAACCAGGCATAATATACATATATACAGTTCAGATGACACATATAGTCTATTGTTTCCTTTTTTATTTTCATGTGGAAAACAATTAGCTTCTAACGTTACTTTGTACTAAAATATTTTGGGTCAAAAATAAGAGCAATTTTCTGGTTTATGCTATTGCATGGTAAAAACATATCTTTCCTATAATAATTACAAACAAACCTTAGATGTTTATGCAATGCTTCATGTCTTTAAAACAATTGACAGCTCTCTAATTTATTTCTCATTTCCATTATCCGAATATATGTGTCTTTGCAGAGGCGTTGACTCACGTAGGCTACTGTGCTCCTTTTTTTAACATAACTTATCTCAAGTGTAATATCATCTTGACATACTTGTCTTAACAAATATATTCAGATACATATATATATATATATATATATATATTACTCTTAAATGTTAACAAATTAGCTGATTGATATTTTCTCAATGCTGTTAATGGCAGGAGATAGTAATCGAGTATTAAGGAATCGGTTGGGAAATAAATATTAAACATCATTCACGGCTAAGTTTTGTTTTCTTCTTTTTCTTTTACTTTAGAATTACTAGATATAAATAATAGAAAGAAAGAAAAAAAACTTTGATCAACATTAATATTATTCAGACAAAAATAGCGCCAAAAGACACATCTGTGCGAGATAGATCATCTCTGAATGTGCGTGTATGAAATATTTCTTTTTGACAGCAATAACAAAGCAAAAATTTTCTGACAAAATCTATAATTACTTTAGTACTGTTTTACACAGGAAATCTTATTAAATTATCTATAGAATATTCATTATGATATGATTTGTAATAAAAAAAAAAACAAAAGAAAAAACTTCAAATAGAAAAGTATTTGATAAAGATATTAAGATGTCCATGTGCGTTTACTGACTTGGTGTATGTTACGCTAGAAGAAAACATTAATCGATAACTTTTTCATTCCTACCATAGTTGTGTTAACATTTTCTAATATGATTAAGGCATGTGTACTTTTAATACACACGCATACAAAACAGACATGTTTCATTGTGACATCACGCATACACACTTCTATTGTTTCACTCTTTTATATTATTCTTGCCGTTAGTTGACGATTTACCATAATGAGTGAAGAAAAAAAAAAAAGAAATCATGCGACAAATACAGAAAATAGTTCTGTTAATTGGCAACCTTTCTAGTCGATTCTTCGTTGTTTTTTTAATTTTTTTTTTGGCGACACTAACTAAGTATTCAGTGCACTATAAAATTCTATGAATAGTTTTGATCGGATTTTTTATTGCATTGTATTTCACAAAAATTGCATGTCTATTGAGAGAAAGAATACTGCATTTTGCCTATATATGCTCATTTTTCATTGCTCGTCAATGACAAAGTGTTCTTCACTTTTTTTTCTGCATTTTTCCGCTATTCATTGTACTCAAGTCAAGTGACCATATCATTGACTAATGAAATTGGAAAGAAATCAAGAAAACATTCTATTATGAAAGTTAATAAATGATTGTATATTTTCTATGTTTAAATCTATAATAAAATACATCAACCAAATGATCTAATGTATATAATACTTAATCACGTAAAATCTATTTTCTTGTCAATGAAGATCTGTTTTTTTTTCAATGAGATTTAGTTTTAAATAAAAATTAGATCATTCAGTAAACATGGATAAATCTAAGATTCGGAAAACAAAAAAAAAAAAATATTATATTCATTCTTATTTACAATATTTCTTTCTTAAGACAATAATTAATTGAATACATATTTAATAAACATACTCATAATTCACAATCATACGCATCAGTTTGCATAAGTAGGCGCTAAGTGAAATTTTTTTTTCCTTTACTATTATGCATAATTTTGAGTCTATTGCTAAAGGAAAGTATTTTATTATAATAATAAGAATAATCTCCATTTGCCGTAATATACAATTATTCATATCAATAGAAATAGTTCGTTCGTTTTGAAAAACTACTCGGAAAATAGATTAAGCTAATATGAAGAGTAATTATTCTGAATAATGACGCACAAAAATTAATGCATCTTGATTGAGTCGGTGCAATTTGACTTCATATATGATTGAGGATATCTCTAGGCATGTTTAATCGTTGAAAAGCTCTCATTCAAGTGGTATAATAGTGAATAGTCTCGAAAACAATATAACGAAGACAATTGTTACTCTACAATACCGTCTTCAATCCATTCCTCTTATAAGCAGTTTCTTTAATCACGACATCATGCCATAGTAGGATCCTTAATAATGATGCTCTTATGAAATAATTACAAGTAAAAATTTATTGTTGAGAATTTTCTTTTTTTCACTCTTTTTGTAAGAAATAGAACAAAAGTCTCATTGGAATTTTTAAAAATCATGTCAAGCTGTAAACAAAGTAAGATGTATCATTTTGAATGTCATAAAGATAGGTGAGAATTTTGTTAGCTTGAGAAACTCTAATTATTTTCTACAAATGTATTTTTGTAGTTAATGATAATTCCATTTTATGTGTTGAAGGTCTGAATCATTTATTAATAAAGTTTTTTTTTTTTTTTCGTTCAATATGCAGTCTTATAAATTGATAGAAGAAGAATGTTTATTTTTAAAACTAGTAGAGTACTAAGAGAGATCTTTGATATTTATAGAAATCGTAAAAATCATTTTTTCGTCAAACAGATCATCAATATCATCCGTTTTGAGATTGATTGAAAATAAGGCTAATCGGCGTCGAGTTATTTTTCTCTATTAGAGTCTATGAAAAGTTTTTGAAGACATTAATATTTTTCTATCAATAATTATTATATGCCATTCCGACTGGATTCTATAGTTAAAAGCAGTGGTTCTTACACGATCAATGTAATTCAATGAACTCTTTCTAAAAGAGCTATTTGTAGCATCGAGTTTTACATCACAATAATGACTTGTCTCCAGAAAAGTCTGGTTTTTTTGCTGGAATATTTTGTTCTTGAGCTTGAGATCTATGTAGACTGTTGAAAATAACAATGTTAGGAAGAGTTCATTGAATTAGATTTGTGATGTACAAATCTTCTCGATTCACCTTTGTAGAAAAAAATATTTTCGTAATGACTGAAAAAAATACTGCTTTTAATCATAGAACCCAGTCAAAATGGCATATAATGATTATTGATAGAAAAATATTAATGTCTTCAAAAACTTTTCATAGACTCTAATAGAGAAAAATAACTCGACGCCGATTAGCCTTATTTTCAATCAATCTCAAAACGGATGATATTGATGATCTGTTTGACGAAAAAATGATTTTTACGATTTCTATAAATATCAAAGATCTCTCTTAGTACTCTACTAGTTTTAAAAATAAACATTCTTCTTCTATCAATTTATAAGACTGCATATTGAACGAAAAAAAAAAAAAAACTTTATTAATAAATGATTCAGACCTTCAACACATAAAATGGAATTATCATTAACTACAAAAATACATTTGTAGAAAATAATTAGAGTTTCTCAAGCTAACAAAATTCTCACCTATCTTTATGACATTCAAAATGATACATCTTACTTTGTTTACAGCTTGACATGATTTTTAAAAATTCCAATGAGACTTTTGTTCTATTTCTCACAAAAAGAGTGAAAAAAGAAAATTCTCAACAAGTAAATTTTTACTTGTAATTATTTCATAAGAGCATCATTATTAAGGATCCTACTATGGCATGATGTCGTGATTAAAGAAACTGCTTATAAGAGGAATGGATTGAAGACGGTATTGTAGAGTAACAATTGTCTCCATTACATTGTTTTTGACATCATCTACTGTCATACTACTTGAATGAGGTCATTTCAACAATGTGATGTGCCTAGAGATATTATCAATTGGCTATGAAATAATGTTTCGCCATGTCAACTAAGACAAGCCAATTATTTCGTGTCATTATAGAAAGCAGACACTAATATTTGCAGTAAGTAGTATTATAAGCAATCAGCATGATATGACCTACCAAATTGATGTATATATTCCCTAATATTTTTCTCTATTTTTAATAACAAAAACATCGATTGACCTCTATTCTATAGTATGATTCGTTTCTTTTGTTAATAAAATTATTGATGATTAATTATGATATGAAAATAGACGAATAAATGTGTGCATCTCATTAACATAAACTTAATGGAAAAGAAGGGTAAAAAATAAGAATTATGTAAAGGGTTATAAATCTTCATATTATCTAAGCTTTAAACATATTTATTATTTTGTTCAAGAATACATAATCAATAATTGGCAAATATTGATGAATGAGTTTTTGACATGATAAAACGCTTTATCTTTACTGTCACACATTGTCTATTCTAATTTTCAGCATCACTAAATCAACGTTTATGTTTTTTTGTTCTTGAATAACGTAAAGATAAAAGCAGAGACAAAAGAAAACAGAAATCTTTTTTTCTTACCGCAGTAAATAATTGCCTTTTATAAGAATAGATTTGGTGAAATTAAAAATAAATATATTTAAGAAAAGAATATTGACTATTTTTTTCTAAGATATAAAAGAAATAAAAAAATCAAGAAAAAAAGCACAAGTCAAATGACTACCAAGTGATTGTAAGAATAATTAGTTGATCGAGCGGACGTATGAGCATTCCTGTTGATCGCGTCTAGTTCTAGTTCCTTTCTTCCTCACTTCTTCTCTTTCCATGTTTCTCGCTTTCTGTCTTTCCCTTTCTCTCTCGCTCTCTCTTTTTCTCTTCGTTTCGTTTTTCTGCATCCTGAAACATTGTCGGACTCTGGAGAACGCGTGTTTGTATGCATGCAAAAAAATGTATTGATAATTGTTTTATAAGATGGAAAATTAAAACAGAGCTATTGTCGTTATGGT